GCTTCGGGACATCTGTCGCAGCCTGTTGTCTCATCTTCGTCGTGAGACTTGTAGTACTGCTGCCTTCCAGGTAAGTCTCTGTTTTTAATTACCTGTGGGTATTTAGCTACAGGGAGCCAACGGAGTTCCCCACAGAAAATCAGCATTGAATGTACAGTAATGAAATGCCATTTTCTGGGCGATCCCCAGAGGCTCCCTGACACCCTCTCTCTCGTCAGCGGTTTTCATCATTCTACGAACCGAGGGGTGAAGTGGCCAGCTCACCTGAGCAGGCTTCCCCTCCTCCCTTTCGAGGGGGGGGGGAGGCTAGTTGGAATGATGATTTGCTTTTCGTTTGAGGGGGAGTTCTTTGGCTCTGTTCAGATGTAGGTTGCAATTTTAACCAGTTAGAGGTTTGTATATTTTGTCTTCCTTTCTAGAGGTATCCCCGGTTGATGGTAGACATGACAAACTCTAAATGTAGTGCTCATATTGCTATTGCTCCCTGCGCCTGTTGGAAATTTAAGCACTTATTTACTAACCCCTGATACCTGGTTGATACCTGGTTGATGGGGTTCTGGGAGTTCTTCTACTCCCCAAGCCCGGCCTGAGGCCAGGCTTGACTTGTGAGAGTTTGGTCCACCAGGCTGTTGCTTGAAGCGGCCCGCCGGGCCACGTACCCGGCCATACCTGACATACCAAGTTAAAACAGTTATGTCAGGAGTATACTAACATTACTAATTTACTAACCTTTCACAGAAAACGAGTTTTAGCAACATACCAGAGAGAATGGTATGTTGCCATGTAAGCAAACTCACGATTTACGTGTGATATTTACTCTTGTAATTAACTAAAAGTGTTCTCTATGACTAAATGTAATTAACTGATAGAGAAGGAAGCTCGTATTTACTGTAAGTCGATAATCTCGAAATTTGAACCAGCTGGTGGTAGCGTTCCTGCTGAGGAGGAAGGAACACCATGCCATATTATGCACATGGCAGTTGATACGTCAACACGTACCAGCCTTACTTAAGAATTCGCACGTGCACACACCAGATATTTCCAGCGATTCGTACCACAGGACCCATAGAAGTCCACCCAATCCACAATTTTGTTACTTGGGAAGTATCGTTTCCGGTCTACAGTACCAGTAAGAAATATCAGTAATTCTGGCCAGTAGTATAGATAATTTTTGTAGTCCGTTTAGGATACTTGGCGGACACCCAGAATGAGCAAGCTCATTTCTTACCATAAACAAATTTCCCATATATCTACTTTATGCTGTGATAACAGTTTACTACCGATACATTATTTGGCAGGTGCCGTTCAGAAGAAGAATGAACATTGAGTCGGCCTGTTGCACCATGCGGTTTCCTAAGTTGCCATTAACACTGGTGTTTTGGGCCCCTGAGCGCCCCACTACCCCAGGTGGGTTTGGGCGTTCCGCGGGAGCGGGAGAGTGCCGTAAATTCTAAAAAGTGTATACCCTTTTCAACTTTGTCAGCTCAATTCTCGTCCTACGATTTTTAATTTGGTATCAATGTGTTCACAATAGAATTCTCTACAAGACTAAATGCATATAAACTCCAAACGCCCGGCTTACCATCCGGAACTAACAGAGAAAGTGAGAGAAAGTTACCCGGGAGTGCACAAGAGTGATAAAATGTTTACACTCCATTCAGTTTTGTCAACTCAATTCTTGTGCTAGGTCTTTCATTTTGGTATCAATATGTTCACAATAGAATTCCCAACAGAAGTATATGCATATAATGTCAAGAACAGCAGCAATCTCCACCCGCTGATGTGATGAAAACAGGCCGCAGTTACCAGAAAGAGAGCGCAGCGTCACCCCAAGGTGCCTCTCATTACATTAGAGAGCGCGGTAATTCTGAAAAGTGTATATTTTTTTCAACTTTGTGATCTCAATTCTTGTCCTAGGTTTTTCAATTTGGTATCAATGTGTTCGCAATAGAATTCTCTACAGGACTAAATGAATATAAATCCCAAAAGCCCAGCGAGAAAGTGAGAGTTTCTTACCTGGGAGCGGGCAAGAGCTCTCTCTTCACTTCGCTCTCTTCGCTTTGGACATCTCAATTCCCATCCTAGGTCTTTCATGTTGGTATCATTGTGTTTGCAATAGAATTCCCTACAGGAGTATATGCAAATATAAAGTCCAAAAGCCCGGCGTATCACCCACAGCAAACAGAGAAAGTGACAGAGCGTTACTCCCGTGAGCGCTAATAAAGAGCAATAAAATGGGTATTCTGTTTTCAACTTTGTTACCTCAATTCTGCTCCTAGGTCTTTCATTTTGGTATCAATGCATTTGCATTGAAATTCCCTACATGACTAAATGCATATAAAACCCAAAAGCCTGATGAGAAAGTGAGAAAATGAGAGCGTGCTACAGTGGAGTGCGCAGGAGCAATAAAATGTGTACTCTCTCTACACTTTGGACATCTCAATTCTCGTCCTAGGTCTTTCATTTTGGTATCATTGTGTTCCCAATAGAATTCCCTACAGGCGTATATGAAAATATAAAGTCCAAAAGCCCTGCGTTACCCACAGCAAACAAAGAAATTGACAGAGCGTTAACCCCGTGAGTGCTAATAAAGAGAAATCAAATGGGTATTCTGTTTTCAACTTTGTTACCTCAATTCTGGTCCTAGGTCTTTCATTTTGGTATCAATGTATTCGCAATGAAATTCCCTACAGGTGTATATGTATATAATGTCCAAAACCACGGCAAAATCTTTCTGGAAACACCGCTACTTTTGCCACACAGAGGACTCAATGCTGAGTCCTCGCTGGACATCCCTGTAGTAAATGGACGACTCAGCATTGAGTCGTCGCCGAGCAAAAGTGTTTAATTAACACTTTGGCGTACCAAGCGCGCCACCCCTCAACTGTGCGATTTGGGTCCCAGCGTTTCACGGGAGCGCGCGTTAATTCTGAAAAGTGTATACTCTCTTCAACTTTGTCACCTCAATTCTCATCCTACAAGATTAAATTTGGTATCATTGTGTTTGCAATAGAATTCTCTACAGCACTAAATGCATATAAACTCCAAAAGCCCGGCTAATTACCCGCAGCAAACAGAGAAAGTGCGAACGAGTTACCCAGGAGAGCGCAAAAGCGATAAAATGTGTTCACTCTTTTCACTCTGGTCACCTCAATTTTCGTCCTAGGTCTTTCATTTTGGTATCAATGGGTTCACAATAGAATTCTCTAGAGGAACATTAGCATATAAAATAAAAAACCTGGTCACGCTCCACCCGCCGACGAGTTGAAGATGGGCCACGTGTTAACCGTGAGTGAGCGCCCAGACGCCTTCTAGCTACACTCCCAATTCCTGCCCACAAATGTTTAGTATTTAGTATTTTAGTATATTTAGTATTATAGTTTAGTATTTTTTGCGTAGTAGTTGTACATCACATATGCATTGTAAATAGCCATTTGTACAAATTAGAAGGTCATTTTCTTCATCCATTTGTGAGTTTTCCTTATGAAGTGATAATATTTGATCATTTGGTCAAAGTGATCAACACCTTTCATGTTTGTATTGTAGTCACAGATTGGATTCAGCTTGTTGACAGTTACCAAACAGTCCCCAAAAAATCGGATAAAAACCTGATTTTTGGCGATTATTTTAGTGGACGACGCAGCATTGCGTCATCCCCGAGATTACCGACAGTAAATGGATGACGCAGCATTGCGTCATGCCCTGGCGAAAGTGTTAAGACTTCACTAACTGAGGTTCATCGTCTGTGACCGAAGGAAACCACTGCCTATTATCAGGCGACTTCGACTCTGGAGCAAAGCACTTGATAAATTATTAACCTATTTAACTGTAGAACTAACACAAATACAGTAATCTTGTTAACCACCATTGGTGGTATAGGCTACATACGTATAAACCCCCAACTTGTGGAAAGATAACCCCCAGCAGGACTAATCAATATAATACAGTCTATTTGCATCATACAGTACACTTCAATTAATTAATTTTAAGGTAGATTTCTACTATTAATTTAACAGTACTTAAACTCGTGCTGGGCAAAATTCCCCACGGCACCTGAGCGGACCAGGTTCTGACTCTGGTCTCTGGTAGACACTAGAACTCCCGGGACTGATGACACCAAACTGGCACATGTCAGTTTGGATAGCTCCATGGGGTCCTCCGGAGCTCGCCCAGAAAACAGCATTTCAATACATTCAAGGCCGTTTTTTTTTGTTGGCAACGATATTCCTTCATTAATGTGGTTGACTCTTCCAGTGCTCTCATGGGTCTGGAGTCTTTTTAACCCTTTGCATCGTGTGGTGGTAGAAATCCAATAGTACTAACTGAATATTATCTCTAGCAGATATAAGTCAACCAAATTTTGCTGGGTTCCTAGTCATATTGGAGTTACCTCGAATGAACTTGAGGACAGTCACTACGGAGGCCATTTGTACTTGCAACATTTTCCAGAAAAGGATTCCTTATTTTGATTTCTTCCCAGTGGTACATTCTGCAATCCATGACCATTGACAGGAGGATCGTTGGGTTTGCATTACAGGTAACAAACTGCATACTCTTAAAAGTGACCTTTCCCTTTGTGCTCCCTCCTACCACCATAAGACAATGGGAAATGGTTCTGGCTATGCTGTATATCAATTACACTCGCCTCGTGTGCAATTAATGGAATAATGTCCTGCTCTCTTTTGTCCGAACTACATTGTCCTACTTACACTTGTGTGCCACATTGTAGAATATCCTGATTTTCAGGGTGATCATTTGCTTTGCTTTCTTAATGTCCCTCCATGTCACTAGTTGCTCGATAGAATCCTTGGTGATTCCATTACCTTTGATGTCATTTGCCTTATGTCCCTTTCTTCTTGTATTAGCAAACCGACTAACATTTAGCACCTTTTAAATAGCTGATACAATACCTTCTTTTGATAATTACTTTATAAAGTGCTTGAACATTTACTCTAAGTATAGTATGTTATAACATGTACTGTAATAGGAAAAACACTATATATTCATTTAGTTTATTTTTGAGCAGCCAACATTCAGAATAAGTTTAGCAAAAAAGGGCAAGAGCAACACTTGTAAGACAAAGTCAATATCTTGATAATTTAAAGTTGTACTGTGATAAAATAAGATTGATTAATTTATCAGATGATGGAGTCTTAATATTGACATGAGGACTCATTCCTGGTTATCAAGGAGAGTAATTTTTTACTAAAATAAAAATTTTTGCATAATTTTTTTTTGTATCTTAAACAAGTACAATATCTTTGGGAATGAGATGCATCAAACTAAACTTACCTCTAATCAATTACTCTAATTATTATTCACTGTATTTATGGTTATCTCACTCCATTATCCTTTTTCAGTTATATTGTACACATTTTCTTTCACTTCAGATAAATTCATCTTACATTCACTAATGGAAAGAATTTTACAAAGAAAATGGCTAGCTGAATAATACACCAGTACAAAATAAGTTAAAGAAAAAAAATTACACCAGAAAGGACAGTATCATACTGTACTTGAAAAATACTAATTTCAGCAAACTCACTTCAGCTTACCGTAGCCCTTCCATCATGTATCCTCTGTTTCCTCCCATCCTGTGACAAGATCTCTACAAATTACCTAAACCCCCCTCTCATGTGTCTCCCACCATTCATTTCTCGTCTACCACCACGTTCCACAAACTTTGAAGGAAATCTGTCTTTGGGACCATTTCCAACTCCATTGCCTCTCATATACATTCCCCGACCTCGCATGAAGCGCATTGTCCCAGGATTTAGAGGTACTCCTCGGTAACCTCTAGGAGAACCATCGCCACGGAAGATCCACGGCATGCCTCTACCTCTAGGGTTCATCCCACGGACAACTCCTAAAAAAAAAAAAATGAAGCATTATTTTGTTTCCCAAACAGAAAAGCAATTACACTCTGAAATACAGAAACAGGATTTTAATATCAGACCATGCAGGTTGGAAAGAACTGAAAGGATAAAGTGGTTCTTGTGACATACTATATACCACAAATGGTCATTGTTAATTTAAATATTCTTGAACTAAAGTTCATGAAGAACTTTAGAAAAACCTAGATATAATTTCATAACATTCAAGACCAGAAAGCATCAATACTTTAAAGGTTCTCCCTAATCACCCTATAATCTTCCTGACTGATGATATGTTTTCTTTAGTGTATTCTCTAAATCTTAAGTAATTAGGAAAAGAAGGCACCAAGCTGGGAAGACTGTAGCCTCATCAATGTGACTGCATATTCAAAAGGTGCTAAATATCACTCAGGATACCAATACAAGAACAAGAGGAAATGAGGTGAATGATATCAAAGGTATCAGATACACCAAGTATTTTATTGAGGAACAAATGATCCCAAGAGACATGAGGAAAGGAAAACATGCAATAATCCTGAAAATTGAGACATTCTAAAAGGAGGTGGACAACTGTGTAAGTGGGACAATGCAGTTCCAACAACAAGGAACTGGACAAGTTAAGCATGTGTGGCCAATATGTAACTTAGCCAGAGCCATTTACCACCATCTATTACAGTGATAGGAGGAAGGTCAAGGGAATATGTTACCTTTAAGAGCACACAGTTTGTTACCCGCAATACCAGACCAATGACCCTGCCAATGGTCACAGATTGAGGAATGAATGACTGGGTAGAAATCTGAATAAGGAATGTCTGTTTGGGAAATAGGAAATTTACAGCAGTAGCCACTGGGGAACCCAGAAAAACTCAACTGCCTTAATTTGTTACAGATTAGAAACAGCAATATTGGATTTTGATCACCACAGGATACAAGGAGTTAAATGACTTGAGTTATGAGCACACTCTACGTCCAGCCAAAGAATTAGCTGGAAGCAGAAATTAGGAGAGAAGCAGGCCAGAGAACTAAGATATAAACTGGTAACAGAAACACTTAAGAGGCTGATACAGAAAAATGGATAAATAACTTCCTATTTCTGAAAACCTAAGTGACTCTGAAATTATAGATATAGGAAGGCAGTAAGGTAACTATCAGGGGAAAGTGCCAAGCCATTACAACTATATAGCCCTGGGAATGGATCAGGATAGGGATTTGGGATGGGACGGGGTAACGGAATGGTGCCCAACCATTTGGACAGTCGGGGATTGAATGCCAACCAGCACGAAGCAAGACCACCGCTCTACCATCCACCTCAAGTAGTTGGGCTATCCGAGATAGAAAAATTTAAAAGAAAGCATAAAGGCTGTTAAGAAATATTCTGAAGCTCTTCTAACATTATCTGGACTTAGTATAAAACAGTGACCTTAATATACACTCGGCCAACACTAACCACAATCTGGCCGAAATGGTGGCCTGTGGAAGAACCTGCTTCCCCTGCTGTCACCTCTCCCTCGGTTGCCACGACCCCGCATGGAGTCCAGCAAAAACTGTGAATCAGGTTAAATAATTAGCTAATAAAATTTATATTTCTTTATATCACTACCAATGTATTATTAGGCAACATTTTAATATATTCATTATATATTCGTAATGACTCAACAAATCCAAAAATGTAATGCAGGAAAACAAAAAGTTAAGACAAAACTTACATGTACCTTGCCCCGTCCAAATGATATCTTATTGTATCCTGTTGGTCCGGTGGGCTGGTGGCCAGTGCTCTCTAAAGCAACAAAATCATCTACGTGGAGTGATGGGGGCCGTGAAGTGTTAGGTGGGCGGGACCGGAATGGATCACTTCTCATATTCATTCCTCGGTTGAATGAGCGGCCTCTCATTGGAGCAACTGCAAATGCAGATGACATGGGAGTGACAAAGATAATCAAAATCTTTGAAAAATAAATAATAAAATTATATATCAAATCACATCTGATTGTGGAGGATATTCCCTGTTCCCTATGCAAAGAAATTCTTATGATACAAATCATGTAAAAAAAATAAAGAAAAGAAAAATGACTCGTTCACTTCCACCCATACATATATTTTACAATAGCCAATGGACATGCAGAGAGGGAGACAATAACTGTGGTGGATAGGAAGCAGTTAGTTGGTAGGTAGATGTTTAAGGTGTGGGAGGGGTGGTCAAATGGTGGGAGGGCTGGTCAAATGGTGGGAGGGGTGGTCAAATGGTGGGAGGGGTGGTCAAATGGTGGGAGGGGTGGTCAAATGGTGGGAAGAGTGGTCAAATGGAGGGAGGAGTGGTCAAATGGTGGGAAGAGTGGTCAAATGGTGGGAGGGGTGGTCAAATGGTGGGAGGAGTGGTCAAATGGTGGGAGGAGTGGTCAAATGGTGGGAGGGGTGGTCAAATGGGGAGGGGTGGTCAAATGGTGGGAGGGGTGGTCAAATGGTGGGAGGGGTGGTCAAATGGTGGGAAGAGTGGTCAAATGGTGGGAGGAGTGGTCAAATGGTGGGAGGAGTGGTCAAATGGTGGGAGGGGTGGTCAAATGGTGGGAGGGGTGGTCAAATGGTGGGAAGAGTGGTCAAATGGAGAGAGGAGTGGTCAAATGGTGGGAGGGGTGGTCAAATGATGGGAGGGGTGGTCAAATGGTGGGAAGAGTGGTCAAATGGTGGGAGGGGTGGTCAAATGGTGGGAGGGGTGGTCAAATGGTGGGAGGGGTGGTCAAATGGTGGGAGGGGTGGTCAAATGGTGGGAAGAGTGGTCAAATGGAGGGAGGAGTGGTCAAATGGTGGGAGGGGTGGTCAAATGGTGGGAAGAGTGGTCAAATGGTGGGAGGGGTGGTCAAATGGTGGGAGGAGTGGTCAAATGGTGGGAGGAGTGGTCAAATGGTGGGAGGAGTGGTCAAATGGTGGAAGGGGTGGTCAAACGGTGGGAGGGGTGGTCAAATGGTGGAAGGGGTGGTCAAATGGTGGAAGGGGTGGTCAAATGGTGGGAAGAGTGGTCAAATGGCGGGAGGAGTGGTCAAATGGTGGAAGGAGTGGTCAAATGGTGGGAGGGGTGGTCAAATGGTGGGAGGAGTGGTCAAATGGTGGGAAGAGTGGTCAAATGGAGGGAGGAGTGGTCAAATGGTGGAAGGGGTGGTCAAATGGTGGAAGGGGTGGTCAAATGGTGGGAAGAGTGGTCAAATGGTGGGAGGAGTGGTCAAATGGTGGGAAGAGTGGTCAAATGGAGGGAGGAGTGGTCAAATGGTGGAAGGGGTGGTCAAATGGTGGAAGGGGTGGTCAAATGGTGGGAAGAGTGGTCAAATGGTGGGAGGAGTGGTCAAATGGTGGAAGGAGTGGTCAAATGGTGGGAGGGGTGGTCAAATGGTGGGAGGAGTGGTCAAATGGTGGGAAGAGTGGTCAAATGGAGGGAGGAGTGGTCAAATGGTGGGAAGAGTGGTCAAATGGCGGGAGGAGTGGTCAAATGGTGGGAGGGGTGGTCAAATGGTGGGAGGAGTGGTCAAATGGTGGAAGGAGTGGTCAAATGGTGGGAGGGGTGGTCAAATGGTGGGAGGAGTGGTCAAATGGTGGGAGGAGTGGTCAAATGGTGGGAGGGGTGGTCAAATGGTGGGAGGGGTGGTCAAATGGTGGGAGGGGTGGTCAAATGGTGGAAGGGGTGGTCAAATGGTGGGAGGAGTGGTCAAATGGTGGGAGGGGTGGTCAAATGGTGGGAGGGGTGGTCAAATGGTGGGAGGAGTGGTCAAATGGTGGGAGGAGTGGTCAAATGGTGGGAGGAGTGGTCAAATGGTGGGAGGAGTGGTCAAATGGTGGGAGGAGTGGTCAAATGGTGGGAAGAGTGGTCAAATGGTGGGAGGGGTGGTCAAATGGTGGGAGGAGTGGTCAAATGGTGGGAGGAGTGGTCAAATGGTGGGAGGGGTGGTCAAATGGTGGGAGGAGTGGTCAAATGGTGGGAGGGGTGGTCAAATGGTGGGAGGGGTGGTCAAATGGTGGGAGGAGTGGTCAAATGGTGGGAGGGGTGGTCAAATGGTGGGAGGAGTGGTCAAATGGTGGGAGGAGTGGTCAAATGGTGGGAGGGGTGGTCAAATGGTGGGAGGGGTGGTCAAATGGTGGGAGGGGTGGTCAAATGGTGGAAGGGGTGGTCAAATGGTGGAAGGGGTGGTCAAATGGTGGGAGGAGTGGTCAAATGGTGGGAGGGGTGGTCAAATGGTGGGAGGGGTGGTCAAATGGTGGGAGGGGTGGTCAAATGGTGGGAGGGGTGGTCAAATGGTAGGAGGAGTGGTCAAATGATGGGAGGGGTGGTCAAATGGTGGAAGGAGTGGTCAAATGGTGGGAGGAGTGGTCAAATGGTGGGAAGAGTGGTCAAATGGTGGGAGGAGTGCTCAAATGGTGGGAAGAGTGGTCAAATGGTGGGAGGAGTGGTCAAATGGTGGGAGGAGTGGTCAAATGGTGGGAGGAGTGGTCAAATGGTGGAAGGAGTGGTCAAATGGTGGGAGGGGTGGTCAAATGGTGGGAGGGGTGGTCAAATGGTGGGAGGGGTGGTCAAATGGTGGGAAGAGTGGTCAAATGGAGGGAGGAGTGGTCAAATGGTGGGAGGAGTGGTCAAATGGTGGGAAGAGTGGTCAAATGGTGGGAGGGGTGGTCAAATGGTGGGAGGAGTGGTCAAATGGTGGGAGGAGTGGTCAAATGGTGGGAGGAGTGGTCAAATGGTGGAAGGGGTGGTCAAATGGTGGGAGGGGTGGTCAAATAGTGGAAGGGGTGGTCAAATGGTGGAAGGGGTGGTCAAATGGTGGGAAGAGTGGTCAAATGGCGGGAGGAGTGGTCAAATGGTGGAAGGAGTGGTCAAATGGTGGGAGGGGTGGTCAAATGGTGGGAGGAGTGGTCAAATGGTGGGAAGAGTGGTCAAATGGAGGGAGGAGTGGTCAAATGGTGGAAGGGGTGGTCAAATGGTGGAAGGGGTGGTCAAATGGTGGAAGGGGTGGTCAAATGGTGGAAGGGGTGGTCAAATGGTGGGAAGAGTGGTCAAATGGTGGGAGGAGTGGTCAAATGGTGGGAGGAGTGGTCAAATGGTGGGAGGGGTGGTCAAATGGTGGGAGGAGTGGTCAAATGGTGGGAGGAGTGGTCAAATGGTGGAAGGAGTGGTCAAATGGTGGGAGGGGTGGTCAAATGGTAGGAGGAGTGGTCAAATGGTGGGAGGAGTGGTCAAATGGTGGGAGGGGTGGTCAAATGGTGGGAGGGGTGGTCAAATGGTGGGAGGGGTGGTCAAATGGTGGAAGGGGTGGTCAAATGGTGGGAGGAGTGGTCAAATGGTGGGAGGGGTGGTCAAATGGTGGGAGGGGTGGTCAAATGGTGGGAGGAGTGGTGGTCAAATGGTGGGAGGAGTGGTCAAATGGTGGGAGGAGTGGTCAAATGGTGGGAAGAGTGGTCAAATGGTGGGAGGAGTGGTCAAATGGTGGGAGGAGTGGTCAAATGGTGGGAGGAGTGGTCAAATGGTGGGAGGAGTGGTCAAATGGTGGGAGGGGTGGTCAAATGGTGGGAGGAGTGGTCAAATGGTGGGAGGAGTGGTCAAATGGTGGGAGGGGTGGTCAAATGGTGGGAGGAGTGGTCAAATGGTGGGAGGGGTGGTCAAATGGTGGGAGGGGTGGTCAAATGGTGGGAGGGGTGGTCAAATGGTGGGAGGGGTGGTCAAATGGTGGGAGGTGTGGTCAAATGGTGGGAGGAGTGGTCAAATGGTGGGAGGGGTGGTCAAATGGTGGGAGGGGTGGTCAAATGGTGGGAGGGGTGGTCAAATGGTGGGAGGGGTGGTCAAATGGTGGAAGGGGTGGTCAAATGGTGGGAGGAGTGGTCAAATGGTGGGAGGGGTGGTCAAATGGTGGGAGGGGTGGTCAAATGGTGGGAGGGGTGGTCAAATGGTGGGAGGGGTGGTCAAATGGTGGGAGGGGTGGTCAAATGGTGGGAAATGGTGGGAGTGGTCAAATGGTGGGAGGAGTGGTCAAATGGTGGGAGGAGTGGTCAAATGGTGGGAGGAGTGGTCAAATGGTGGGAGGAGTGGTCAAATGGTGGGAGGAGTGGTCAAATGGTGGGAAGAGTGGTCAAATGGTGGGAGGAGTGGTCAAATGGTGGGAGGAGTGGTCAAATGGTGGGAGGAGTGGTCAAATGGTGGGAGGAGTGGTCAAATGGTGGGAGGAGTGGTCAAATGGTGGGAGGGGTGGTCAAATGGTGGGAGGAGTGGTCAAATGGTGGGAGGGGTGGTCAAATGGTGGGAGGAGTGGTCAAATGGTGGGAGGAGTGGTCAAATGGTGGGAGGAGTGGTCAAATGGTGGGAGGGGTGGTCAAATGGTGGGAGGAGTGGTCAAATGGTGGGAGGGGTGGTCAAATGGTGGGAGGGGTGGTCAAATGGTGGGAGGGGTGGTCAAATGGTGGGAGGGGTGGTCAAATGGTGGGAGGGGTGGTCAAATGGTGGGAGGGGTGGTCAAATGGTGGGAGGGGTGGTCAAATGGTGGGAGGGGTGGTCAAATGGTGGGAGGAGTGGTCAAATGGTGGGAGGGGTGGTCAAATGGTGGGAGGAGTGGTCAAATGGTGGGAGGAGTGGTCAAATGGTGGGAGGAGTGGTCAAATGGTGGGAGGAGTGGTCAAATGGTGGGAGGAGTGGTCAAATGGTGGTAGGAGAGGTCAAATGGTGGGAGGGGTGGTCAAATGGTGGGAGGGTGGTGGTGGGAGGGGAGGTCAAATGGTGGGAGGAGTGGTCAAATGGTGGGAGGAGTGGTCAAATGGTGGGAGGAGTGGTCAAATGGTGGGAGGGGTGGTCAAATGGTGGGAGGTCAAATGGTGGGAGGTCAAATGGTGGGAAGAGTGGTCAAATGGTGGGAGGTGTGGTCAAATGGTGGG